ACAAATAACTTTTTATACAGAAAGAATTTTGTGTGTTTTGTGTTATTAATTATGAAAATGAAATAGTATATTCTTTTATTCTGTTAAATTACTTAGTAATCAGAGTTATATTTATCATGAGTCTTATTTATTCATTATATTAAGAAATTGAATGAATATATTCAACATGTAAATAAAAGAGAAAATAATAATCATATTATATTTTATTATAGTGATACAAATGAATTGTTGATAATAATCAAGAATAATAATAATGGAGATACAACACAAATATCAAATAACACAGTCAGTAATGTTTTTTATATTCACGAATTATTTGATGAAATACAATATAATAATATGTTATTAAATAGAAAAAAAACGTCAATTAATAGATATATCCATAATTTGATTTTCTTAATATTAAGAAGTGATTATTTCAATTTCTTCAATATGTTCTATTGGTATTACAGAGTTTATTTCAAAACTATCGCATTAGATTGTTCTTCTTCTAGTGTGCTGCCAAAATTGAGTTGTAAACGAAATAAAACAATAAAACAAAAAAAAAATAAAAAGCAAAAAGAAATAACAAAATAAAATTAGAAATATTTTCTGATAAATTTCAAAACTTTATGTTGTTTATCTTTAACCATCTTTTGAATAGAACTATTTTGAAGATTTCCAATTAACATATTCACAGCATCACTTTCTGGAATTGACAAAGCAAAAGCATCAGTAAGACATTTTGTTACAGCATATTCATCAAATTGAGTATCAAACCCAAAAACAATCATAGATAATCTAATAATCATACCAACATGTCTTCGAAGTACTAAAAACCCAGAAGTACAATTTTGAACGAATAAATCCCAAGCACCAATTTTTGATTTTTCAAGAGTAACAATTGTATTATTAAGAGAAGTACGAATAATTGTTGGAATTGCAAATCTATTTGCATCAAATTTTGGTCTTAAATTAATAACAAAACCAAAGTCAATATGTGCAAAGGACTTATCACATAAATGAAATTTCCAATTTTCTAAATGACGGTCTCTTACTCCTAAACAATACGAAGCAATAAATCCTCCAGAAAGTGTTGAAATCATTGTTGCCATCTCTTTTGGTAAATATTCATCTATCTTTAAATTAATAGAACATACTGGACAGTCTTTATTCTTTATTGAAAGTTGTTCAAATTCCCATCCATCTGGACAACAATGTAATTCTGGATGTTTTTCACATGCACACACTTCTTCAATACATCCAAGCATTTGAAAAACACCTTCTCTTGGTCCTGTTGGAACAACAGAATAAGTAACAGCAATTGGTTTACAAGGAGTGTTTTGATCAAATGCAGTAGGATGAGCTAAAAACGAACTTTTCATCCATAAAACATTAAATACATTAAACATAACTTGAACAGCCATATCTCTTCTTAGGTCATCTCCATATTTAAACATTACTCTTCTTCTTTTTTGTTGTCCATTTTCTGTTTCTGCATAATAAAACATTAATGATATTGGTGTTGTTGCTGATTTATATGACTTTAATGCAACCATTTTTACTAAAACACCTTCTCCAAGAAAAGGGTCACAATTTCCTGTATAGTTTAATACTGAAATACTTTCTTCTTTTAATTCTTCATCACTTAATTTATTCATTTTCTCTGGTAAAAAATCCCTATTAAGATAAAGTGTTGGTCTTTTTGCTTCTTTAGGAAGTGTTAATAAATTATCTCGAGCAGACGCAATCCAAGTAATAATTTCTTCATTTTGATAATTAATACTTTTTGTTATTTCTCCTCTTTTATCTTCTAACTTCTTTCTTTTCTCATCGATTAATTGAAGTAAATAGCATGATCCTTCAATTCCTCCTTCAACTAATTTACAAAAAACTGGATCACTACATACACAAATACCTCCAGCTCTATGAAGCCAAAATATTCTTGTATAAACATCTCCATAGTCAATAGCAGTTCGAACAATAGCTTTAATTAAAATAATTTTATATTCTGATCTTGGTTGAATTACTATATGTCTTAAAAGTAAAGGAAGATAAAGTAAATATTGACTATGATGACTTTTACAATAAGAATAAATAGTTTGAGGAAGAAGAGAGTCTAAAGACATTTCTTCAAGAAAAGAATAAGTTTCATGAAAAGAGTCTTGAGTTTCAACCATGTAACTCATGTTACTGTGATTTGTTTTAATTACATTTTTTTCTTACTTTTATTTTTTCTTTTCATTTTTTTATGAACGAAAAACTTTAGTTTTATTAATGAAAACCACAAAACCTTTACATATTTGTCGTGTTATTACTATCGACGGTCCTTCTTCTCCTTCTTTTGCTAGAAATGCATTTCCTTGTTATTCCATTAGTCAAAATTCTTTTATTCAACCACCTCAAACAGCATACCTAGTGTTAGTAGAATGGGATGATTTATATATTAAACAACCAACCTGGGTGTTACATGATGAATTAATTTCGATACGTGGTATAGATCGTAGAAATTTATATAATCAATTTTTACGAGAATATACTGTTAATAAATTTACTTATACACCTAATTTATCATCTTTATTACCAGCTAAAGAATTAATACCAAGTAAAATTATTGATTCTAAAAAAAATGAACAACAAAAAGAAATCTTTTCAGTAAAATGGGAATCACAAGGAAATATATATGAAAGCCAAGAACAAATTTCTTTCTTTGAAAAAGAAGAATATAAACATTTATTAATTCAATACCAAAACTCACCTTTTTCACCTGAACCACTTAAAAGTTGTGAAATTAATTTATTTAATCAATCAGATTTAAAACATAAGAGAATAGGAGAAGTTTGTTATAAAATACTTGATCGTCTTAAAACAAATAGTGTAATAATTGAGAATAAATCTTCTACAGAACCATCACTTTCTTATTCAATCAAATTTAAATTATTTAAAAAATTAAAAAAAGTAATGGATTTAGGATTTAAAGGTCCATTTTTAATTATTACAAACAAAGAAAATTTAGGATTTTATCAAGAAAATTTATACAAAACAATTCCAACAGCTTTAACTACTTTTATAACAGAAAATCGTCTGAATAAAGAACAAAAAAAAGTATTAGAAAGAGAACTTTATTTTTCTTCCTCTTCTTCAATAAGAAGTAATTTTGTAGTTTTAACAAATCCTAATTTTTTATTTAGAAGTGGAACTTCATTTGATATTATTTTTGTTGACACAGAATTACTTCAATTTGAATCAATACATACAACAATTAGTAATAATTCTTATGTATTTCTTTATAGTAAAATTAATTCTTCACTATTACGTTCTTTTTGTAAACAACAAACAAATGATAAAGTAATACGTTTTAGTTTTGAACAACCAGAACCAGTAATTAAATACGTTGACTGTTATATCCCATTAACACAAAACCAACAAAATTTATTGAAAGAATTAAAAAAGTCATTAACTATAGAACCAAGTAAAACATCATTAATTTGTTCTGAAATGATTAAAACTGGAATATCTTCTAGTTTTTATTTAAACCCAAAAGAGTCAAGTGGTAAACTTTTATTTGTAGAAAAGTTAATTAATCTTTTCCAGTTAACAGAAAAGAAAGTAGTTGTTATTGCAAATTCTTCTTGGATATTTGCTCATTTATTGGAAAAATATCAAATAAATATTATGTCTTGGGATTCTTCTGCACAAAAAAATAATGCAATTTGTACATTATTAAAGTGTAATTCACAAGAACAAGCAAATGAAATTATTCAATTTTATAAAGAGAAGAATATTAATCTTCAATCAAATTATAAAGTTGTTTGTGTTGACTGTAATACAAATTCCAGTTTAATATTCTTTGATTTTATAGACATTGTTATTGATTTAAGATCTGATTATTCTCCATTACTTGAAACATTAAATAAAAATAAATTTGGCTTTGCTACAACGAAATCAATTCTTTATTTTAGACTTATTGGAAAAAATAGTATTGATGAAATTACAATAAGTATGAATGAAACAGATACTATTTTTAATCAAAATGAACTTAATAAAATTTATAGTAAATATCTTCTTGGTAATATTAACTCTTATACTACATTCATAAATAGAATTCATTCATCTGATAAGGATTTTATTAATATGATTAATCAATTCTTTTCTTCTTCTAAACTTCTTCAAGTACTTGATATTAATGATGATTCTATTGATTTTATTGATGATGTTCAAAGAGATAAACATATTGAATTAAATCAAAGAATTAATCCTCATTATTTAATGAGTAGTGACTATCATAAAATTTCAATAGAATTGAAAATTCCATTTGGATTAAACCAACCATCTAATGTTCAATCTTTTCTTTCTGATTCAATAACATTAAAAGGATCATCTATTAAATCAATTCTTAACAAGTCAAAACCTTCTCCTCCTTTAAAAGAACAAAATGTAGTTAATCTTTCTCATAAAGGATTAGAAGAAAAATCAATAAAAGAAATTCCTTCATCTTCAAATCAACCACTTGACAAACAATCTGCTATTCTTCATGAACAAACAAAACAAAAGATTATTCCTAATAATTCATTTAATTCTCTTTCATCAAAAGAGTCTGAACAAAATACTAAATCACAAAAACAACAACTTCTTACAGGATTATATAAAACTGTTAATGACCCTCAAATGTCACGTGTTTCTGTACTACCAATACCTCATGAATCAAAAATATCTAAGGAACAAAATCAATTTAATCCTTTTAAAATCCCTAAAGCAGAAGTAAAAACAGAACCAGCTATTTCCTATCCTTTAAAAACTAATCACAAAAAACAATCAATACAATATTCTCAAGAACTTTCTTCAAAAATTTATTCAATTATAAAAGAAAAACTTATTAAATTTTCTTCAGTTCCTCCAATAACTGGTAACTCATTAATAGAAAAAGAAAGTAATTCAACACCTCAAAAAATAAATAATCTTCAAGGAGTTTCTACTATTCAATTACCTCTTCAAAATTCATCAAAAGTTCCAAGTTTAAATAGTAATATAAATAAATATTCTTTACCATCAACAAATCCGAATGAAATTACAACAGAACAACAATTAAATAAAACTGGAAATGAAAAACAATCTAAAATAGATAAAATTATTGAACAAATTAAACATGGTATTAAACTCTTTGGAACTGATGTTTCTAAATGGAATATTAATTTTAATATATTTGAACCATTATCAAGTAAAATGATACAAGACATTGTTAACAAAATAGAATCAATAGAGAGATTAAATATAACATTAACAAATGACCAAATGAAAGTATTATCACATATTTATAATTATGTAGTAATAAGAAAAATTATGATTCCATTCCCTATATGTTCTCTTAAAAATTGGGATTGTTCATGTGATATTACATTACTTCAATTAATAATAGAAAATGGATTGAATGTTCCTGAATTATATTTAAATGATCTGGTCATAAGAAGTGTATTAGACTTAAGTGGATTATTAACAGAAAAACAAAAATGTGAATTTTTACATTCTAGGATTGAAAGCATTTATAAATGCTATTCTATTTGTCAATTTAATTGAATATGAAACATTGATTTATTGATTAAACTGGTTTTCAATTAAAAAATGATAACGAATGCAATGATTATAATTGCACCAATTAAAGTAGTTCCAAGTGTGATTTTCATTACTGAATCAAATGCATCAAGTTGTCCTACAGGTACTGTATATTGAGAGAATTGAGGATTACAAGTTGGTGAAATAAATTGAGAAGGATCACTCGTTCCACAAGAAATGGGAGTATTAAAATAACCATTAATATTATGATATTTTAATAATTCAATACTTCTACTATCAGTACAATTATCACAAATAAAGAAAACTTCTGGAGGTGGGAAGATAACATTTTTTTCAAACATATCATTAATTCTAGCTTTATGATATCTAAGATGAATTGGAATTGAATGAGTTGAAATAGACTTTGTTTGTTTTAATGTTTTTATTATAACATGAGCTTGTCTTCCAGTTAAAATTGGAGCTTCAAGATCCATTGGTTCATACATAAATACTTCAAGGTCTTTTTGTTTTCTTTGTAATTCTTGCATTTGATATTTATCAATAAAAATACCTTGTGGGACGGTATAAATTAAATAAATATCATCATTATTTGTTGTATTAAAATTAAGAGTAGTTATTTCAGTTGTTAAATGAGTTCCTTCACCTTTAAGTCTTTGAAGATAAACAGGAATTGGATGGGTATATTGAACAGTATCAAAAT